GGAAGTTGATCTATCAGCACTATCGTTATCTTCAGGACAGATGTTTTTATTTTATTCGGCTTATAATTCCTTACTAAATGTAGTATTTCATCTCGATGTATTCCGTCTTTGATATGATTTAAATCAAATTCCTCGTCATTATAAATATCATGAATACAAATCAAATAGTTTTCTGGTTGCAATTTTCTAATTTCGGTTATGCGTAATGTATGCTTTAAGTATGCGCGCGTTGAAAGAAATGTTTAATAAAATAAACAAATAAATATTAAGCTTCTTTTTTGTAAATTTTGATACCCATTAGATCATAATTGCTCATTATTTTATAAATTACGGTTTCATACTTTTAATTTTTGCATGCCATCTTACCAGATTTAAACTGATGATCTATAATCCGGAAAAATCGATAATCCGGAATCGCCGAAGTCCCGACGAGTCCGGATTAAAGACTTTTGACTGTACTTATTTATTGTGTAAAAATGTATCGTAAAAAAATTCAGCTCATGGAGTAAAAATACTTTTTAAATTTATTCTTTAAAAATATTGCAAAAATTTTCACCTTTACCTTAGCATATCTTTTTACAAATCCCTCTAATAAGAAAAAATAAGGAAAGAAATTAACTCGGTTTCGGTGATTGATACCTCGGTGCAAATTATATGTAACATTTTCCCAAAAGCATAGAGTTTATATGGATATCAATAAATTAAGGATTATTTCTCCATCTAATTTTCTTAACATGTTTATTGCCAGAATTTTCTTTTCACACTGTAGCGCTTAACTTTATGAGTTTTCTATAATCATTCAATTTCTCTAGCCATGGCAACTTTGCATACCTTCTGACAAGTAGTTATATTTTTAACCACTGTATTTTAATTCCTGTTGACTATCAGTACATTATTCACTTGTTTCACAAGTGCAACTTTTATTTTATACGCAAATCTACGTAAAATAGCATTAAAACTTCAGTTATGCGGAGCTCCTGATCGATTGCTTGTTTTAGATTGAATGAAATTAAGCTTAATGTTACTGTTAATTACTTGTTATTAATTTAATTATACATTTCTAATTAATTATGTTCAGATATTTCCAAGTATATTATTCAAAGTTTTGCATCCCAATTTTTAATTTTTGGTTAAAAAATAAACTTTTATTTATTGAGAGGCCTGATTGATTATATTAATTTGCAGTATTGCTTATCTAATTACTTTCTTCTAGATAAATTTTAGAAAAAAACTTCTTAGCATAATAATTTAAATTTATTTACAATTTATACGTCAGTGTTCCAAATGCATAGTAATGTTGTTATAATAGATTTCATGCTAAGCTTTTTTTAAATTTAACTAAATTTAATTTCTGCAAACATTTACATGATTACTTTAATTAACAAAAAATATTTTTAGCACACTTTGATATGGAATAATTTTTTGCACGCTAGTGAACTCTATTAAATTTTCCAGTCTAGTTCAGACATCTTGACTATTATTGATGTAATTTATTAAAAATATAATTTGTATGCTTTATAATTATTTAATTTATGATATTATTATAATAAATGAAAGATGTTTGTAATGCTAATATGTATGTTTACCAATACCTTTTATTTTCTTTGTTAGCTCTCGCATTTATTACTGTTATTCAAGTAATTAGCCTGCTTGTTAGATATTTTTTACTTGTTCTTGTGATATGTAATTCTATTTATTTATATTTTCATCTTGGCTACAATTGGCTTCGAAAAGTTAAATTGTAACCCTGTAGGCAGCAGGGGGAAGAAATTTTGATTGGCGCAGTTGGACTATAGCTCGACCCAGTGTGGGGATTTTCATTAGCGCAGTTGGAGTACACCCCTCTAAATGCGAGCCGAAAGTTCTCTTGTATGGTTTGGTGGTAGAGGTGAGGAGTGGGAGTTCCTCGCACTCCCATTTTCTTGAGGGAAATACCCTCATTTGCGGTCAGGTCATAAATTTACAATCCCTTTTATCAGGGGGAGAGCTGACAAGGTGCGGACAATCTCGCTAGGGATCTTGAGAAAATGCGGGGGTTGTTTAAACATCTAACTTCTCTACTTTCAGTTTTATACAGAGGAAAAATACAAATTGAATTCTTCGAATGAATGCAATTTTGTACAATGAAAATGTATTACTTAACGATAAACTGTAAGATAAATAACATCTTTTTTTAAAGCCATAGGTGTAGAAAGACAGATATTTGTTACACGAATGAATTTGTAGTAAATATTGAGTTTTTCATTTCGAATGCTATGTTCCATGTATGCGAAGTAGCTGAGTATGTGAGATAATAGTCATAACCGAATGGCTTTCAACCTTTTCACGGCTAAGGACTGTTTCTCAATTACATTGTGGTCGCTGCTTTTTGGTTAATTTTCTAATGACATATATAAACAATAATTGTTTTTATTTGAGACTTATGAATAAAATAACGCAAACTAGACTGCAGAAAATTCTTAAGAATGAAGTTAAATAATACTGAAAAATACATTATTGATGCACTTTTGTGTTTTATATGTAGTAGTATTAACTACTACTATAATCCTTAAATGGAATCCTTAAATTATATATATCTATGTATAGGTATATATAAATGGAACCAAATATAGAACAAGGTATAAAATATCTTTATTATACAATGTTCATTACCATACGTATATTTACGTAATATCAATATAAATAGTTAGTTAGGTTTCGTACATATATAATTTATTTTTATATTTTGTATTTTTTTTGTATTAGATTCAGTATTGTATACGTATCTGAAGTTTAATTTGTTCTCTTTTTGGGTTACGACTTTAAGTGAGAAAGAATTGTTAGGGCCTTCATAGGGATTACATTATATACAATCAGTTAGGATCCGACTTTTCCTTTCTTTTAATCATTATATATATTGAAATACTACTTGATAAGTATACATAAAATATAGCAGTTTTTTAAGCTACTTATTTATATATCTATTGTTTGGTCTGGTTTGTTTGATTATAGCAAAGCATTCGACGGTTATTTGCCTAAGGGTAAGGGTGCCTCGTGGAGAACTTTCTAAGCAAAACTGACTCTTATGCACGTTACACGTGGGGAAAACCTCGAAAACGCCAATACAGCCATCCCCGTCGATCCGGATTCGAACCCCGGATCGACCTGCCAGAGTTCAACGACTTTACAGCTCAGCCGCTAGTGAGCCACACACACACACACACACACACATATACATTAAATAGTATTTACATGTCGTTTTATAAGTATAATTGAGTGCAATTTAATCATAAAGAGTTAGAAAATATTCTACGGAATTACTTCACTTCGTAGACTTTTTGTTAAGCTTCACCATATTTCTTAAAGAGAATCTCAATGCTAGTTCCATTTCCAAGCTGTTTATGTACCTTATTTTTCATGCTTTGAATTATATTTAGAAAATTATTTCACTTGGTTATAGCTGAAAATGCAGTTTTTTTATTGAAGAATTTAAGGGTAAGAAGAGAATTATGCCTTTTTCTAATTAATTATTCTTGAAGCATTTAAATTTTTTTAAAAAAAGCGCACTAAAGTGGTCTATACAAGACAGATTAATTAGCTACTAAATTTTGATTTTCGTTGAGTAAAAATGAATTCATCTGCATTCTATAAGAAAGTAAATATTCAAAAAATGTTTTTTTTTTTTCCCTATTCTCGCAGTCATAATATTTTTCTTAAATATTCAGCTAATTCATATTCAAATATTCCAATCCATTACAATAAGTAATAAATCGATACAGTAAATAAATAATTAAAATCAATTAAATGGAATTTTAATTGATTTTAATTGCCATTTTCCCTCTGATAAACCCCTCTTTAGAGTTCAATAGCAGTCGATCAGCTTTTGTTGGGGGTTCATTTTTCTTTATGGTATGCTTACGTTATATATGTATGTATTATGCATTGCTCATACTTGTCAATTGCAGCTTTTAATATCTTTTGGAAAAAAATCAATATGAGAATCCAGAAAATGATTCTTAGCGACGCTAAAACTATTATTACTAGGCACTCTCATGCCACAGTGTTTAAAAACAAATCCCATTGTTTAAAGGTAGATTCTATGCTCATATTTTAGTCTAAAATTAAAAGCTGCGAGTCAAAATTAAGGGGGTTGCTCTTAGAAAGCCTCATTTAGAAGTAGTTATAGGAAATGTTAATCAATACTTATAATCTTAAGGTATGTAAATATGAGCCCATTTCCCTTAGAAAATTCTCCATGAAATCATGCCTAGCCAACCCTCATATGTTTTGCCATATTCAACACAAAATCATTCTTAAGATGATTAATTAATTAATTTTATGTTAGATGATACAAAGCTTTTCAAAAACTAGGATGCTTTCCGTAAACAATTAGTATTAATAAGCGCTGTTCAACTGGAATTGGGTTGGATTATTTGCTTATAGCAGTGCTTTTTAGCCGACTTACATGTACCTGTTTGTATTGCTCAGAAGAGGGTGGAAGGAAATTCCTATACGAAAACAATGTAATAATGAAATGTTAATAAACAAATAAATATAACTTTTCGTATCTTATGTAATTTGTCTCCATTCTGATACCATGTGCATCATTTATGTCTGATATACTGATACTGAATGAGACCTCAAAACACTTTTTTTTTAAATATATCACCCCTTATTATCCCTGACACAGCCGTTTACTTTCCCCTTCCGTAATTAACGTCAGTCTCCTGCTCTCGACCGCATTTGCCAAGCCACCCTTTGAGGGTGCGCTTCCTCAAAACAGGAGTGGGAAGAAATCCAACCTCCTTGAGGCTCTGGCAACTATTCTTCCATGAATTACATGGATAAGACAACAACAGCATTGAAAGATAGCTGCGATATTGCAATACGAGTCTGATTAGAATAGCTATATTACTAATGTATTTGAAAATATTTTATTAGAATAATATAGTGTTATAATGGTGGTAAGGAATCATCAGGTCATTTGCCTAGAATGATTAGTAGTTTACAGTAAAAGAATCTTAAAGAATAAAAAAAAATATTTATTCAAACTATCAATTCCACAAAATAAATAAATTTTATAAGAACAAATAAACAACTGATTTTAAGTCTAAATACAGCAAATACACGATTTTTCACAACATTTGACAGAAAACACCAGAAAAGCATTTTCTGTAAGACTGACTAGTATTCTTAATATACAGTCTTAACAAATAAAATTAGGCTTTGAAACAATCAAGCCAAACTAAGTATCTGCAGTAAACATTTCATAGTAATTAAATTATCTCATGTTACTATTTGCTACAAAAATAAAATAACTTTCTGAAATCTTTATTGAAATATTTTAGTCTTGTTCTTTGTAAAGAATATGCTTCGTTACGAAATTTAGTTTTGGTGAAATGATATAAAAAATCAAATATAACTTTAAATAAAGTTTTAAGAAGAATATGAGAAATAATTTTAGAATTTGGTTAATACGCCTAAATGAGCAGTTGCAGGTTCATACTACATTACATTAAAAAAGATAATTACAATAATACAAACATTAAATTTAAAATAGAAAGCTACGTTTTAAACAATTTCCAGAGCCTTCAAAAGCACATTTCCCGATAGAAATTTTTGTTATTTTACTCAGGTTATTAAAAAAAAAAAATTTTTTTTTTTCAGCATGAAATTGTGAGTTATTTTAAGCACATACATTAAAACATCGTTTCGCCCTAAAAATTTATAAAATTCACACTTTGCATTACTTTAATTTTCTAAGAACCCCAACTGTTAGAATAACAGAATCTAATATTTCGTATGGAATGACAGAAATAAATATTATGAATGATATTTAACGCTAACTTCATATTATCGTATATGAATCCAAAAGCTAAAAAAATATCAATAACAAAATATATGTACACCTAAGAGTCTCCACTGTCAGTCAAAAGACAGAAAACTATCGCCATTCCACTTTATCATGTAACAAAAACAACAAAATAAAATGGCGAACTCTTCTTATTTTATCAACAAACTATCTTAACAATTTATAGAACTTTAAATAACTTCGATAACATATAGTGATGTCTGACATATTTAAATGCGATTTCCTTTTTATAAATTCACGAAATGCCGGTTTAGATGGATTCTTAAGATTGAAATTTTGCTTCATCTTAAGAATTGATGCGAGGAAGTATGTATTTAAATTGTAGAACATCCGGCTATTCTTTTATGACTAACAACCTGAATTCTACAATCTCGACTCATAGCCATGTTTAAGACTTTGAAGTTCATTTTCAAAAAAATCATGCATTTCTATAGGAGTAGTTTCCTGATTCAACTGAACAAGAATTCACTAGGAGATTTGGTTCTTGCCACTCTTGAAAAGAAAATCATTCAAAGAAGTTTGATGAACCTCAATAAACGTGATCCGCAAATACCAGATTTCTTTTTTGGTTTCGGAGGAGGAGATCGCATAGCTGTCTGTACGGCAACTGCGAAAATCTAGAAAGTAATAAAAATATTTATTAGTTTTAAACTTCTACTTGCAGTTATTTTAAAAATTAACTACAGTAATCTTAATAACTATAAGTATATCCATGCTAAAAAAATTAAAGAAAATAGTCAGTTCCGACGCGTCTCAGAAAAAACTTTCCAGCTCGTTCTTCCACGTATTTTATACTTAACGTCTTTCTAACTCAAGAGTGGTTAACACTTAGCTCTATTATAGAAAAGGTATTTAAAACGATCTTCTTAAAGCGTTACAAGACAGCAACTTTTTCATTGAAACGTCCTTGCACATTTCTATTTTGTAAGAACAGCCAACAAGCTCTGAAAGTCATATGTTATGAGAAACACAGCTGCCACAGCAATATCGCCTCCTTTGAGGAAACTGATGATTCTGCTCTGCATAATGTTATCTATAAGAATAATGCTTATTTTTGTGTCATTTGAAATGCATAACTACTCTCTTCTTTGCAGTTTTTTACGTGCATCAGGTGCTACGTGACATATGTTGTGCTTCTAACAAAACTAAAACTTCAGTCAATGGCCTTTGGGTGTTCCAAAAGGAATATGGAACAATCCAACCGCACAATCCAACACTTTATTGTAATTTACAGTTATCCTCAATTTTTGAGTACATGTGAATAAATAAAACTATATGTAAAAAATAAAGCTATACTACTAATTAAACAAAATTACTTACTAACCTTTTAAATAAAATATTTCATAACGTTTTCAATTATGAAACTGCATTATAAAAGTGATTTTAAAACATAAAGGCTTTTCGGCACTTCATAAGCAACAGAAGAAATGATAAACGCAGTAGTTACTGTGCAGCCACCCACTTAATTACTACAAGCAATTAGAAAGTATTTTTAAACGCATCTGAATTTGAAAAAAGAAACTGAATTTTTATTGATACTGATATTTGGTACTAACACAGAAACTTAATAAATTTGCCGATTTAACACTTTTACTTTAGGCACTTGCACTCATAAAGATTTAATATTCCATCCTCCAGCACAGGTTGGAGAGATTTTTAAGAAATTGGGAGATAGTGGACTATCTGGAAAAGTTTCTCCATTTCAGCTAGTCATTCTCGGAGAAACGGGAAAATGTGTTCCGCTATGATGTTGGTGATTAAAAAAAATAGAAATTGCAAAGCAAAATACTGTTACCAAACCAATAATAGCATAACAGCAGGCCTAGCTCCATCAAAATCACCCCAAATTTCAGATCAAAATATACCTTTATTTAATTAATTAAGAATGCATTAATGAACTCTACAAGCTCTCCGTAAGACGAAGCTGTGGATGATGTTATCATAATGGAATTTTTTAGCAATAGCCTTTTCTTATGACTGAAATGCAAAATAATTCAAATTGCCTGAGAAGTTTCGATCCCAAGATTTTATCAGTTAACTTCGAAAAAACTCTTTAACTTTTGAAGATACTGATATACGAGTTGTCTAAAATATTTGTAGGGTGAAGCATAATTTAGGATAATTATCTTTTAAAGAATAAATGTGAATACAAGAAGCTGCTTCTTTTTAAGTTTTGAAATTCCAGAAATAAGATCCTGCAAGCTATACAGTTTATGGCCGTGACTTCAGCAATAATATCACACAAATGACTACCTATAGTACTGTAGTACCATAAGTTGCCGCCAGTTTTACTTTACTTCCTTCAGTTGCTGCCTGTGTTCTGTTCACTAGTTTCTATCCAGTCCACCAGACGGAAAGGTGGTTAGTGACTGTGAGTGTCGTTTCAGGATGTGAGTTCCCGGATTCGAATTAAAGAGAAGGCATGGATGTAAATTATCTGTCAATTCATAGGATGCAACGGTGGCCCACCTATTAGGGGCATCCATGAAAAAGTGGTCATATCTTTTCCTCAGGGAAGAAAGTATGCTTCAAAACTGCTTTCTGGAATCTATCGAAAATTCGTAACAATACTCATAATAGTGTCTCAATTTCAGATTGACTGATACTAGATCAAGAATAAGAAATGTTAAAATAACAGAAGTTGCACATGCAGACAAAAATATACGCATAGTATCAAAATGTCCAACTGAATTTCTAAATATAACTAATTTATTTAGTTGCCGCCCAGACGACATAGTGGTTAGGGGAGGTAAACCGCTGGATTGGCTTCCGACTCAGGTATAGATATATCCATGCAGAATTGGTTATCAACTCAGTTACCCAGTGATTAGGAAAGTCTATTGCGATACCGAAGGGCCTGGGTTTGAGTCCCGGAGAAGACATGGATGTTTGTAAATGCATAGTGTTTTGCGGCATGGTTTCACTCTAAATATATGGCGAGCTGAAAATCCTCTCGTGTGGTTTAGTTGTAGGAGAGAAGATGGAAACACTCGCCCATTCCAGATGCTCTCCCTCAAAACTGGGGAGAAAACTGAAGAAGTCCAACCAGAGGCTCTGGCAACCCTTCTTCCATGAAATACATGGACAAAGACAGCAACAATTATTCCGTTAAGCGTTATGTGGTTAGATTAATTAGCCATTGTAGGGTTCATCGCCATCTCTCTATGCTAAAACGTAGAGGAACCTAGTGAACTTGTAGCGACTTCTTGCTGAGTTCAGAACAACTAAGGCGTGGACTCGAGAAGGGTTAGATTACTCTTTTATTCACTCAGATAACAGTCGGCCCCTTCTCGGGCTTATAGGAAAGCTTTTACTTGGGATTTAACTCAGAATAAGAAAATAAGAAACTAAGTTACTATTAACTAAACTAGCCTTAGCCGAAACTAGACACAATTATCTAACGTAGTTGGCCTTTCCATTAAACTAGCCGGCGAATATCAATAGGCACTTACAATACGGCCGAGTGTAACAGCTTCAAGAGTGACTTAGCAACAAGACTGACACGCCTCACTAAGGGCTCTTAGCACTTTCTTTCGAAGTTAGTTGAACCTTCCTTAAATGCATCTTCTAACTCATTTACATTCAACGCGATTCTAAAAACTCATTCTGGTAGGGAGTTGTAATTGGAAACAAGAATTAACAGGAAATTAAGAAATTGTTTCAAAATTAATATAACTGCTATAAAATTAAAATATACCTTACACCATGATAATGCAGAAATGTATCAGCTGTTTTCTTGACAAGCCAATATAACATACTTCGAATACCAGGGGGAAAAAATAAATAAAAAAAATAAAAATACGAAATAAGAACTTTATTTTCAGTTTGATATATATTTACTATTTAAAATTTTGGTTTGATTTGAGACCTGAGAACTTTCCCTTTGTAGGAGGCAAATTGAAGGATATGCAGTTAAAAAAATTCAGAAATATGTATACCAACCTCTTTAACACCTTCTTTTTTCCTGGCGGAACATTCCATATAAGCTACAGCTCCAATTTTCTCCGCCATGTCTCTTCCCATGCTCTTTGTAACAACTTCATGCCTACTGAAGGATCGGGAACAGCGGAGATCTTTCTTGAGGCCTGAAAGAATTAGTTATCTAGAAAACTTTGTTTAATCCAACAACTGAATTATTATTTATTGGATTGCTATGAGTTCCTCTCCTAGTTTTAGTATAATTTGCCCAAGGAAAAAATAGATAATATTACTTAGTTCTACATATAATATTTTCTTCTGATGCTGCAACTATCACTTCTCGTTATAGCTAGATTTCTCAATTTCTTGTGTTCCCTAAAGTGACATCTCACCTTGAAAAATACACTCATGTCCATAAATTAAGGATAATTCGGAGTCACGCGGAAATTGAACTCTAAAATAAATATATCACCTGTAAAATCACTACACACATCTTCAAGAATCATATGCAAATTTCAGGAAGTAACCAGATGACACCGATGGTACGTCACAATGACGAGAGTGTAAAAGAGTGATATATAAGGAATACAGGCAAAGAAGTAAAATTGTTCGCAGGCGCTTTATAAGCATTTCAGTGCAATAACCGAATAGTTATGACACAAAGGACGCATTTGGATGATTTTTTACGTGGTAGAATTATCGGCCGTCCGGAATGTGGGAGTACCCAACTGGAAGTATCAGACGAACTTGGAATTGCCCAGAGTGTCATCTCCAGGCTTTGGCAACGATTCCAAGATGATGGTAATGTGAGTAGACGATACAGCACAGGTCACCCCAGAGTTACAACGCCGAATGAGGACCTGTATTTGGCAGTTACTGCCAAAAGAAACATGCGGAGCACAGCCTCAGACCTGTCTCGTCAGCTCTCTTAAGCCACTGGTACGACAATTTCAAGGCAGACCGTGTACAGACGCTTAGGGCAGATTGGTCTATATGCTCGTAGACTTGTCAGATGCGTTCCACTTACTGCAACTCACTGTCGCCTGCGGTTAGCCTGGAGTAGAGAGCATGCATTGTGGACACCGCAACAGTGGGCTTGTGTGATGTTTTCCGACGAGTCCAGGCTTAGCTTGCAGTCAGATTTGCGCCGGATTTTCATATGGAGAGCTCCAGGTACCCGTTACCACCAAGAAAACATCATTGAACGACACCGTTACGGTGGTGCAGGAGTGCTCATTTGGGGTGGAATTATTCTGGGTTCCAGAACTGACCTGCATGTTCAAATTGGAACCATGACAAGCCATATCTATCGGGACGTCATTCTGCAACAACATGTACGTTTGTTTCGGGGCGCCATGGGCGGACAATTTGTGTTTATGGATGACAACGCCCGTCCTCATCGCGCAAACACCGTAAGCGAATGCCTTTAATCGGAGGATATCACCCGTATGGACTTGCCAGCATTCTCACAGCACTTGAATCCAGTAGAGCACGTGTGGGACACGCTTGGCCGACGAGTTGCAGCCCGTCAACCTCCTCCTACATGTCTACCGGAACTTCGGAGAGCATTGCTTTTTTGATTGGTGTAATATCCCCCAAGATCAGATAGATAATTTGATACTCATCATGCGTAGGCGTTGTACGGAGTGTATTGCATCGTCTGGGAGACATAGAATGTATTAACAATCATACCAACCATGTAATATTGGTTTTTTGTAAATAGGTTTTTTTTTGTAATTTGCTCCAGGGAGAAAAAATCGCTAATTTTTTAAATAATATCAAACATATAGCATCTTTTTTTGCTCTTTACCTTTTGCTTAATAAATAAGCTTTACAAATAAGTCATATTTGTTTTGCTTCTAACTCTTCCTTTGCCTGATTTTGCATTATCCTTAATTTATGGACATGAGTGTATTTTGAAAGCTTTTCAGATATTCAGAGAAAAGTAATGATGGACTTGTGGACTTTCGCAAATGCATTTAGAAGTTTTGTGAACATACAATGATATATATAGTATCAGATATTCGTACGTAGAAGGTTAAATAGAGATGGAGTTATTTCCTTCAATTATCGGTTTTTTATGGACTCGGTCAGAAACAGTGTTGTATATATTAAAAACAAAAATGACTGAAGGCTTTATTGGAAAAGAATTCTACTGACTGAAATACCTATTATATTCTTTTAGAAATACATTTTATTATTGAAGCTATACTAGAAATATTTATAATTATTAGGTTGGGTAATAAAAATAAAGAAAAAATTAAAATCTTTAAGACGTGTATTTCGTGACGTGTATTTTAGAATGACGTCCCGATAGATTTGGCTTGTCATGTATTTATTGCTTGTTTAATTTATTTAGCAATAAGGTTACAATTTGAAAGATAAGCTAAAGATCTTATATTATATCGAATAGCAAATAACTGCCTGAAAATTGGTTATTTGCCAGTCCATATAGAACACAAATTAAAGATTTTTAGTCACACCACCCGAAAGGTCACATAGATGATATATCCTATGATATCGTTAAGTAATACAGGACAAATTCTTAGAATTTGGAAAGAATCTGCTAAAAGAGTTTATTACATTAATGTATAAATGAATTGTAGGAATTTATTTCTTTTGCTTCTTCTACTCATGTCAATTTAATTATGCAATATGTTGAAATAGCATAAGAAATTATTTCTTATATTTTAAGAGTACTTTATTTTATATAAAAGCCTGGGAAGTTCTGTTCGAAATATGAAGCCTTAAAGGAAGTACAACCTTAAATGTTAGAACAAAGAACAAGAGAGGATTGGATTGGATTACCTCGATTACAAGAAAGCACGCGACAATTATCTGCCTAAGAGAAGGAAAGTCTTCGGGGAAGATTTTGTAGGGAAATTGTATCGTATTCACATCATACACGGAAGAACAACTCTTTACATAATTTTTTCTACTTTGTCACGTGATATGAAACATTCAATTACCGCGGATCGTTTTGGGGTTACTATATAAAAGGGATACTATATAATTCTCCATTACAAATGACGTTTGATGAGGAGATTCGATGCTGATAGTTGATTGGTTGTTGAAAACGAAGAACTTAAACTTTTTCACGAAAGAAAGGAAAAAACCGTGTGCCTTTCTTTCAGTGGTAAAGGAGGTGGAAAAATCTTTTGAAACAGTTTTTCATCTGAGATAAATGGATGTTTGATATCAGTCTAAGAGGAAAATACATTCGAAAGAAACACTGGCATTCACGTTACAAATGGAAAAAACCACGAAAACTAACATGCAGTCAGCCCAGTCGCCACGATTTGAATCCCAGTATTTAGCGGTTTTGCCGCTCGGTTTAGGCTCGCGACATGAAGCTGAGTCGGATGATCAGTATTCTGCAGTCAATCTTGTGGGTCAAGACACAAGAAAGGAATCGTGTAATGTAAAACCACCGTGTAAGTGAGTTTAAAACTGCAGAGCCTGCCTGCCCCCCTTTTTTTGAGAGAGAGGAGAGGCAGAAAAAGTTGAAAAATTCCCAAATAATTTTCCGAAAATATGACATCTCGATGCTTCAGTGAAAATCATTTAGAATAATGACATGAAATCCAATACAAGCATGAAGTACAATAATGGCACGATTTCTACTCATATAATTGCAATTTTTCTAAATTTGTCAGAATTCAGCAAATAATACAGAACACCGAAGTAACGAGTAAGCTTAATTGTTCATTGAAATGCTGATGGAGGGAGTGAAGTGTTAAGGATTTAAATTGCTTCACCATTACGTAATCTATAATAATAAAAGCAAGTGTAATGTGTCTGTCTGTCTGTCTGACCGAGCTCACCAGCCAAATCTATCGCACGCAGGGACCTGGAATTTTTTATACGGAAGCACAAAGGGGCTGGCCACCAGACCTCGAAGCCCGATTTTCGATTTTTGAATTAGAAAAATTTTAAAAAAATTATTTATAATTTATTAATCACGGTTTTTTTGACTCACTGATATTAATTATTATTTGTTTTCAAATAACGTTCGATTGTAACAATTGATTTCTTTATTCTAGCGTTAGTTTGCTGTTTTGACGATACATTAAATCGATTAATTACAATTCATTTCTTTTTTGTAGCTTGTGGGGGGGGGAAGAGAGAGAGACAGTCTACATGTCCTACACTACTATTCCTGCGCTATTCACTTATCTGCATTTTTCTAAATGCACGGGCAACGCCGGGCGGGTACACCTAGTTAGTAATAATAGTAATAAAATGAAAGTTCATGTCTTACTGATCAACTTTCATTTTTCTCATATCAACATTTTACTTCAATGACATATTCCAGGATGTATTTAGAAGGATATTATTATATTGATTTTATATGAAGTCTCAAGTAAGCTTACTGAAAAAATTACATAGCTATTACAAGTTAATGATCAAAGAAGAAAGAATTTCTACTTTTATTAGCTCTAGACTTTTGAAATGAACTGTCATTCATTTAACATCCACTAAAATGCAGTCATCAAAAACAGAAAATTTTAAAGGAATTTATTGCACTTTCCAGTTGGTAGCTTGCCAGTGTTTCTGTTTTGTTGTGACATTCCCGACTCCTTTCTGCAGCACACAGAGTAGTAACTTGCACCGAAGGTAACTTTTTTAATAGTTATCTTGCCAGTTTACAGTTGTGTTTGGTGAAATCTAAACTCTGACTATCTTCTCTGGAATTCGCAACCATGCCGTACCTCCCGGGAATTTGGAAAGTTACTTTTTAGAGGGTAGAACATTATTTTTGTCGTCCTGAATAAAGATGATTTGATTCTTCTTGTTTATTGTTATATCTCTGATGCTTTGAATTTTACACGATTTCGAGCTCTTATTTATACCTGCAGTTTAAGGAAGTTAAAAAAATATAATTTATAATCTTGAAATGAAATCTGCGCCCAAACTGCGATAGATAAAATATGTTTATTACTCACCTACGGGCAGCGCCGGATTTAGCATTTTTCCTAGGCGGGAAAAAAACTTAAAATTGCCGCCCATACCCATCTTCCTTTAAGTTTCCGTAACAAATGTTATTTTTTTAAATAAACATAGAAATAGGTAGTTTTCGAGATAAGAGGCCTGCCTAAGAGGGGAGATGTCTTCGCTGAGGTCTTTCTATAGAGGTTATCACATATGGCTACAGTCCCTGCTAGAC